CCCTCATTGATGGCCCCTCCCCCACCCTCTGGAGACCCCCTCCCCTAAATTTGGGGCACCCTCAAGCCCCAAATTCCCCAATTCCAACCCCAAATTCCCAATTCCAGCCCCAAATTCCCAATTCCAGCCCCAAATTCCTCAATTCCAACCCCAAATTCCCAATTTCAGCCCCAAATCCCCAATTCCGACCCCAAATTCCCAATTTCCAGCCCCAAATTCCCAATTCCAGCCCCAAATTCCCAATTCCAACCCCAAATTCCCCAATTTCAGCCCCAAATTCCCAATTCCAAGCCCAAATTCCTCAATTCCAACCCCAAATTCCCAATTTCAGCCCCAAATCCCCAATTCCGACCCCAAATTCCCAATTTCCAGCCCCAAATTCCCAATTCCAGCCCCAAATTCCCAATTCCAGCCCCAAATTCCCCAATTTCAGCCCCAAATCCGGGACCACGCCCCTCTCCGGCCCCGCCCACCCCGGCCCCGCCCTCACCCTCTCGGCCAATGGCGGCGAAGAACCGCGCGAGCTCCAGCAGGAGGGCGGTGCCCATGCCCGAGGCCGCCGCCCCCGGCCCCAGCGAATCGCGTTGGGCGCCCACGATGATGTAACAGTCTGGGCGGGGCTGGCGTCAGCGAGGCCACGCCCCCTCCAGCCACCTCCCCACCCCATTGGCCACGCCCGTGTCTTGCCCCACCCACTCTGAGCGCACCCACGTGTCAAGGCCACGTTGGCCACGCCCCCTGACCACACCCAATCAGCGACACCCCATCCTCATTATACCCATTGCCCCGCCCCCTCTGGCATGACCACACCCATCCTCTGACCACACCCAATTTAGCCACGCCCCTCCCCACGCCGTTATTCCCATTGCCCCGCCCTGCTCTGGTCACATGACGACGCCCATCTTCTGGCCACACCCACCCTGACCACACCCCTCCCACCTTGACCATACCCACTGACCGCACCCAATTTAGCCACACCCCACCCATCCCCATTATTCCCATTGCCCCG